CTCCACATCCTTTCCCATCACCACATTCTCTCCATGTCCATCCCCATGTCCTCCCCATCTCCATGTCCTTCTCCATCTCCATGTCCTTCCTGTATCCATCTCCACATCCTCCCCATCTCCATCTCCTTTTCCTCCTCACCTCCACGTCCATCTCCATGTCCTCCCCATGTTTATCTCCATTTCCCTTCCATCTCCACGTCCATCTCCACGTCCTTTCCCATCACCACGTCCTCCCCACGTCCCTCCCCATCTCCATGTCCTTCCTGTATCCACCTCCATGTCCTTCCCATGTCCATCTCCTTTTCCTCCCCAAATCCATGTCCTCCCCCTGTCCATCTCCACGTCCTCCCCATGTTTATCCCCATTTCCCTTCCATCTCCACGTCCTTTCCCATCACCACGTCCTCCCACGTCCTTCCCCATGTCCTCCCCATGTCCATCTCCACGTCCTCCTCCACCTCCACGTCCTCCCCACGTCCATCTCCTTTCCCTCCCCACCTCCACGTCCTGCCCCATGCCCTCCCCACGTCCTCTCCACCTCCACACCTGTCCGACCCCACATCCAGCCCCACTCAATCCCACGTCCATCCTCATGCCCTCCCCTTGTCCAGCTCCATGTCCCACCCCGCGTCCTCCCCATGTCCTGCCCCGTTCTATTCCATGCCCACCTTCATGTCCTCCCCCATGTCCATCCCCATGTCCCACCCCACGTCCACGTCCTACCCCATATCCTGTCCCATATCCATCCCCATGTCCTACCCTATGTCCTGCCCCATATTCATCCCCATATCCATCCCCATATCCTCCCCATGTCCTCCCCATGTTCTACCCCATGTTCTCCCCATATCCATGTGCATCCCATATCCGTCTCCATGTCCTCTCCATGTCCTACCCCATATCCCACCCCATATCCATCCCTATATCTTCCCCATGTCCTACCCCATGTCCTCCCCATATCCATCCCCATATCCTATCCCATATCCATCCCCATATCCTACCCCCATCCATCCCCATATCCTACCCCATATCCCACCCCATATCCATCCCCGTGTCCTCCCCATATCCATCCCCTATCCTTCCCATCTCCATCTCCATCTCCACCTCCATCCCCACATCCTAGCCCATCTCCATCCCCATGTCCCACCCCATATCCGTCCCCACATCCTGCCCCATATCCATCCCTATATCCTCCCCATGTCCTCCCCATATCCATCCCCATATCCCACCCCATATCCATCCCCATGTCCTCCCATGCCATCCCCATATCCTATCCCATATTCATCCCCATGTCCTACCCCACATCCCACCCCATATCCTCCCCGTATC